TGGGAGAGAGTAATCAACACACTCCTGAGTAAAAATGGGAACTGAATATTGGATTCTTAAATGTCCACAGTTTATATCATATACTGAAAAACAAAGATTAAAAATCTAGAGTAGAGGTTAGACTCTTAAAAATACAATATTAAAACAAAAACACAAAAAATTTTAGAAATATATATGAAGTTCGATTTAAAAATAGGGCTTCTTTTTTTTTTGCAAGGTTATAGTGTAATGAAAATGAAAATTAAGAAGTAGTAGAAGAGTAATAGAGGACTTTAAAAGGAAATACGAGAAAAAGAAAAATAGAGAAGAGAAAAGGGAAAACAAAAAGAAAAAAAATTTTTTTTCCTAATTAAAAAAATCGTAACAATCTATGAAAATGAAAGTTAAGGAGTAATGGGAGAGTAATAGGGAATTTTAAAAGAAAATAAAAGAGAAAAAGGAAAAAAGGAAAAATTTTTTTAATTAAAAAAAAAAGTAAAAATATATCTAGGAATTTCTCTGGAGCTGTTGCGGTCAGTGTGGGTTCGGTTAAGTCTCAGATAGCTCCTCATTCCAGCTTACACTTCTCGATATCTACAGGCCCCTTATGGTGTAGTCGGTGCTGTCTACAGGGATTTTAATCGGTTGCACCGGTCCCTTCTGAGGCGGTTCCCTTTGTTTATTTGGCTTCTGTTTGCCGGTCTCTTCAGTGCCTACTTTCCGCCCTGACACAGGCAGGCGGAGGTGGACTCTTATTCAGGTTGCTAGTTCCATTGCGCTGCGGGGAGGGACTGGGGCTGCTTTCTCCGTCTATGCTGCTCAGGCTCCCGGCTGCTCTATATTGAGCGTGCCCTGCGCTGCGTGCAGTTCCAGCCCTTGGATGTTCCACAAAAGCGCGGACTTGGCTGCGCCTGCGTTCCATGCCCTCCCCGCCCGAGCGGCTCAGGCAGCCAGGAGCTTGACGGGCGCACTCTGCCCAGGTGTGGCGTGCCTTCTCCCCTCCGCGGTCCCAGCCTCAGCTTCTGCCAGCGCCAGTCAGGTGCGTGCACTTTCTCCCCTCCACGTCTCCAGCCCCAGTCCCCGCCCATGCCGGTCAGGTTCGTGCGCTCTGTGTCTTGCCACGACCCTCCCGGCGGATGAACCATCCAGAATCTCAGGAAGTCTTTGATTAGAAACTGGAGGCCTGTTTGCAGTGCCGTAGGGGATGCTCAGTTCTTGGTGCCGCGCCTGCCCCTTCCCCTCCCCCCTGCCTCCTGCCTTCGGCAGGGCTGGGCCAGTCCGCAGCCTGCGAGCTCGTCTCTGGACTTGCTCAGAGCCTTTGCTCTGCAAACGGCCAGCAGTGTGTTCCAGCCAGTTAATTTTCTCTCTCTCTCTCTTGCTATCCCACAGTTTAAGTTGGTAACTCACAAAAGCTCCCTCCGACTGTCCTCAGGGCACTCAGGCCCCGTCCTTACCCTAAGCAATGCCGCCCGTTCCTCTCCGTTCCACCCACACTTGCTGGTGGCGGATGCGGGCGTCTGGGGTACTTTTCTGCTGGGAGTTGCTTTTAGGCACGTAATCTGTGGGTTTTATCTATTCTTCCCCTCCCAGTTAGGTTGCCCTCCGAGATTCAAAAACTTCCCCCAGACCCACCAGTGCGAGGGTTTCCTGGTGTTTGGAAACTTCCTCTATTAAGACTCCCTTCCGGGGACGGATCTCCATCCTTAAGTCTTTTGTCTCTCTTTTTATCTCTTATATTTTGTCCTACCTCCTTTCAAAGAGAATGGGCTGCTTTTCTGGGAGCCTGATGACCTCAGCTAACGATCAGAAGTTGTTTTGTGAAGTTTGCTCTGCGTTCAATTGTTCTTTCGATGAATTTGTAGGGGAGAAAGTGGTCTCCCCATCCTACTCCTCTGCCATCTTGGCTCCTCCGACATGGACATCTTTGAGGGGCCATCATTCAGCCTACCATCCTGACCTGGTCACCTCTTCTGGAGCCCCCACAAATTGCTCGTTTCTATCTGACCCAAGGGCTTTCTCTTTTGTTTCTTCAGACAAAGGGACCATTTTTTTCTACCTCGGGGCCTTTGCACTTGCTGGTCCTTCTGCCAGGGATATCCTCCCTTCCTCTGGTATTCCAAGGGCTGACACTCCGATGTTGGCCCAGTGGTCATCTCTCTTGAGAGGCCTTCCCTGGCCTTGGGAGTCTCAGCCAGCTGCCCCCTCGCCCTCTGCTGTGCCCCCCAGTGTAATTCCCTGAGGACCTCTGATCAGCAGCTGATGCTTTTCCTCATGTCCTTGTTTTCCTGGGGTCCCCACAACAGTGTGCACTACCCAAGGACACGTCTTGTCTTTCCTGCTCACTGCTGCCACTAACGCCGAGTACACAGCAGCTCCATTCATGTTCCCTCTGGGCTCGGCCTCGGGACCTAGTCCTGCCCCGGGGCCTGAGAATTCTCTCTTCCCCTTTCTCAATTTCACTTCTGTGTGTTTCACTTTTTTATTTTTTTAAAAAAAACTTTTTCTCTTATATTGGAGTATGGCTTGTTAACAATGTTCTGATAGTTTCAGGCAGACAGCAGAGTGACTCAGCCATATGTATACACGTATTCATTTTCCCCCAAACTCCCCATCCAGGCTGCCACATAACATTGAACAGAGTTCCCTGTGCTATACAGTAGGTCCCTGTTGGTAATCCATCTTATTTATTTTTGATTTTATTTAGTTATTTAGGCTATGCTGGGTCTTCGTTGCTGCACGGGCTTTTCTCCAGTTGCAGTGCACAGGCTTCCCATTGCAGTGGCTTCTCTTGTTGCTGAACATGGGCGCTAGGGCGCAGGGCTTCAGTGTTTCTGGTTCCTGGGCTCCAGAGCGCAGGCTCAATAGTTGTGGCACATGGGCTGAGTTGCTCCGCGGCATGTGGGATCCTCCCAGATCAGGGATTGAACCGGTGTCTCCTGCCTCGGCAGGTGGATTCTTTACCACTGAGCCACCAGGAAAGTCCGGTAATCCATTTTAAACATAGCAGTGTGTATACGTCAGTCCCAAACTCCCTAACTGTCCCTTCCCCCCCCCACCCTTTCCTACTTTTTCATTCTTGAGTCACTTCTCACTTGAGGGACGCAGAAAGCAGCAAGACATGCAGGTCATTTCCAGGCAAAGAAGGAAATGACCTATCGGGCCTGAACCCCGTGAGGCTGGCCAGGGGTCACAGCTGTGCTGCCTCTGAGTTAGGACAGCTTCCTGGCAGGACTCTCAGCTCCCCGTGCCTTTGTTCACTGCCCTCCTCCTTCCCGGAGCAGCTGCCCTTCTCACAGCCCACCTCAAAGGGCATCAGATCCCCTTCGGTTCAACCGCCTCATTTAGGACTGAGGAAATGGGCCCAAAAGCCTTCCCAGGCACACGGCACTTGCTCTCCAGGCACTGTCCCGCCCCACCCCTGCAAGCCCTCTTCCTCCCAGGCCATCAGCAGGGGCCACAGGGATGCTGGGTGCTAAGATCAGCAGGCCCAGGAGCCAGTCTACAGACACCCTCAGCCATCATGGAGGACAGCCTGGCGCCACCGTCTCAGAGAAAATGTTACTAGAGTTTAGAAACTTCCTGTGCTGTGCGGAATCCAGCCCCTCCCTCCAGCCAGGGCAGGAGACGGCCAGGGTGGTGGCCTCCCACCCAGCACCCCGTGGGTCCCTCCCTCTCTCCAGATGAGAGCCCTGGTTCTCCCACGCAGCACCACTCTTCCTCTGAACCTTCCCGGGAGCCGCAGGTCAGTCACACGGGGCCCAGCATGGGTATAGGCTGAGGGGTCAGGGCTGAGAGGGCACAGTGACACCCTCCATAGGGCAGTGAGAAAATCCCCCTTCCTTTTGGAACTCAGGGTGAAGCCAGGCCCTCTCTCTGCATGACCCCAGATTCCTCATCCAGGGTGATCCCACACCCCAAGGGTTGCCTTCGATGGGATCTTGTGCTTAAAAGGACCTCGTCCTGAGTTTCACGTTCTTCCGTCTCTTTCCTTAAATTCTTAATAACTTTTGTAAAAAGGACCCCATGTTTCCACTGTATACTGGACCCCACACACTATGAAGCTGGTCCTGTAAGCCCAGCCTCTCAACACTCCCATCCCACCCTACCCCTGCTCTCGTGACAGCTCCTAAGCGGATCACCAACTGTAAGCTCCGGGTCTGGTGAGGGCCTGACCCTCTGGGTTAAGACATCCAGCTTTCTTAAGAGCCTTCTGAAGACAGCATCAAAGCAGCGCTGCCACAGGGGTTCTTGGGCCAGCCGGGGGGCATATTTGCTCAGACAAGCCTTTAAATCCCACCCCACAGCAGGTGCTAGGACAAGAGAAAGCAGAAAGAAAAAGCAGGAACTTTGGGGCCAGGCCAACTCAGTTTGAGTTTGACTCTGCAGCTTAGAGTCTGGGTGAGCTGGGAAATGTTACTAAACCTCTTTTCCTCAGCTTATCTATAAAGTGAGGGCTATACATACCCACCTTCAGGGTTACTGGGAGAATTAAGTGATATAACACATATAAAGTTGATATTTATCATTCTGGTGACATTTTAATTTTTTTATGACATTTATTGATAAATGTCGGCTGTTGAGGTCAGACAACTGGGCTCTAGGTTCAGTCCCACCATTGACTCCAGTGTGAACGTCACATGTCTGTGCCTCAGGTTTCCCAACATGTGAAATGAGGATAAGCTGGGTGTCCCCTGCACAAGGCTCCGGGAGCTCTCGCTCACATCGGCATCACCCACTCCTCCAGAAAATCTCCCCTACAGCTCTCCTTTGGGCTCCCCGTCACCCACGCTTGCTTCCCCACCAGCACATGTGACCCTTAAGAAGGAGTTGTTTCCATGTCCGCCCTCCCCTCTTGGACTGGGAGCTCTGTGGGGGCAGGAACAGGCTCTGGTTCTGCTGGTCTGAGCAGAGTGGAAGACGAAGGGTTAAACAGTTCAGTGCTCCCTGAGAGATGCTCGCACCCCACACGACCTGATGGCATCTCCCCTCTTCCCTCAGACCCAGCCTTCCCTCCTGGGAAGATGCAGGTACTCATGATGCTGCTGGCCACAGGGGCCACCTACTACCTGGGCCTGCTGGCAGCAGCTGCAACAGCCGTCAACCCTGGCCGACCTGACACCCCTGGCTCACTGCCCGCTCACCGGCGCCAGAAGAGAGACTGGATCTGGAATCAGATGCACATTGACGAAGAGAGAAATGACTCGCTGCCCCATTACGTGGGCAAGGTAAGCCTCGGGCCCTGGAGCAGGAAAGGCCTTGGCAGCAGGCAGCCCACAGTGTTGGTGGTGATGGGAAAGACTCTGATGGGGTGGTGGTGGCTGTAGGGTTGGAGATGATGGCTGTGAGGGTGGTGGTCATAGTGGGAGAGACAGTGGATGTGGTGGAGGAAGTGACTAGGAGAAACAAGGCAAGGAGAAAGCGGTGGTGGTGGTGATTGGGAAGGGGAAGGTGGTGGGGGCGATGATGATGATCGTGGAGGTGATGGTGGCAGTGGAGATGACGGTGGTGGTGGAGGTAATGGTGCACACAAGGGTTCGTTTTCTCCCAGCCTTTGGTCTGTGGCCTGAATACCACCCCATGCACAGCTGAGGAGGCCAGTGTAGTCTGAGGGTTCAGGGCTTAGTATGGGACCAGTCAAGGCTGCTTTAAATCTGCCCATCTGAGAGATCTTCAGGACCTGAGCAGACATCTACAAAATTGAACAGGTGACAAAGATCTTCATCCAGGCCACAGTTTGCCATCTCTATTCAAGGCCTTTGAGCTCCTGAAAACCCCCTTTCTCTGAGGCCATCCACTCCCCAGATTCTAAGACAGCCGTAACAAGGTGCCTGACCCAAGTCTGCCCTCCAAGGCAGGGTCTATGACCCTAACCCTCACTTCATCCCTTTGCAAACACGTCCATCCTCAGTCACCTTCCTAGGGCTTGAAGCTACACTGAGTAACTAATGAACTATCTTCCTGTGTCAAAGGACTGCTGATGTCAAAACCACTCCATTGAAAGGAGAGGCTCTAGTGGTGGAATTTCACACATGACAACAGGGAGATGGGTTAGGTATTCCAAGAGTTTTCACTGAGGAGAAAAACTCCATTCAAGTGCTTTAAAATCTCACCATGTCAGTTTCCTGGAAGCTAAGCAGGGTCAGCTAAAGAAAGATCAGTGCCCTGGTGAGAGGAGGGGTGGTCCCAAGCACAGACCGGGCTCTAGAAGACAACGGGGGGCAAAGACAGAGCTACTCACCCTCACAGAGCTTGTGATTTAAAACAGGGGTTGGCCACATATCAACCAGTGAAGTTAGGACACTCCCTCACACCACACTCAAAATGATTTATTACGGACTTAAATATAAGACATGACACCATAAAACTCCAAGAAAGAGAACATAGGCAAAACATTCTCTGACATAAATCACAGCAATGTTTTCTTAGGTCAGTCTCCCAAGGCAAAAAAAATAAAAGCAAAAATAAACAAAAGGGACCTAATCAAACTTTACAAGCTTTTGTACAGCAAAGGAAACCATAAACAAAAAGACAACATAGAAACTGGGAGAAAATATCTGCAAAAGATGTGATAGACAGGGGCTTAATTTCCCAAATACATAAACAGCTCATATAGCTCAATATTAAAAACAAAAACAAAAACAAAAAAAAAAAAAGCCAATCAAAAAATAGGCAGATGACCTAAGTAGACACTTCTCCAAACAAGACATACAGATAGCCAACAGGCACATGAAAAGATATTCAATATCGCTAATTATTAGACAAATACAAATCAAAACTACACCTCATACCAGTCAGAATGGTCATCAGCAAAAAGTCTACAAACAATAAATGCTGGAGATGGTGTGGGGAAAAGGGAACCTTCCTATACTGTGACTGGGAATGTAAAATGGTGCAACCAGTATGGAGAACAGCATGGAGGTTCCTTGAAAAGCTAAAAACAGAGTTACTCTATGAGTCAACAATCCCACTTTTGGGCATATATCCAGAAAATATGACAACTCTATTTCAAAAAGATACATCCAACCCAAAGCTCACAGCAGCACTGTTTGCAATAGCCAAACAGACATGGAAGCAACCTAACTGTCCATCAACAGATGGATAAAGAAGATGTGGAGATACGCATGTATATGTGTGTGCGTGTGTGTGCCATAAAATGAAACATTGCCATTTGCAGCAACATGGACAGACCTAGAGGTGAGCAGACTACGTGAAGTCAGACAGAGCAAGACAAATATCATATGACATCACTTATATGTTAAATCTAAAAACATGATATAAATGAACTTAATTACAAAACAGAAACAGACTTACATAGAAAACAAACTTATGATTACCAAAGGGGAAAGACCGGAGGAATAAATTAGGAGTTTGGGGTGAGCAGATACAAGCTATCATATATAAAACAAACAAACAGCAAAGTCCTACTGTATAGCACAGGGAACCATATTCAGTAGTTTGTGATAACCTATAATGGAAAAGAATCTGAAAAAGTGTGTGTGTATGTATATATATAGTGTGTGTATATATATATCACTCTGCTAAACACTAGAAACTAACACAACATTGTAAATCAGCTGTATTTCAATTAAACAAACACATACATAAATAGGGGCTGAGGGAACTGCCCCACCACATGGTTTTGAAAGTGAAGTTGTGGTTGCCTTCATGCTACAATGGCAGATTTGAGTAATTGTCCAAAGACCATTTGACCCACAAAGTCAAAAATTTTTACTATCTGGCCCTTCACAGGAACAGTTTGCCCACCCTGGTCTAGAAGGGCAGCATGTATTAGACAAAGAGCCTCACACATGCCAGATGGGGCTCCCTGTGATTATAGAGAAACAGGCCAGAAAGGCTCTTTAAATGGGGGAGGGTTCAGTCTGGCCCTGGTACCAGAAACGCCCCAGAAGGTGGCAGTGAGGGCCAGCTTGGGAATCTCCACTCCCAGCCCTGCCCAAGGCCAGCTCCCTGGGCCCAGGCCTCCTCTGGCCACAAAGAATGGCTAGGAAATTTAGATCTTTCAGTCTGCCTTCAGAGGGGAAGAAGCTTGCCCCAGGGTCACACAGTGAAACCAGAAAAACCCCAGGAAAGCGTAGGGCTCCTGACTTCCCACACTAGAGGAAAATGTCAGACCACCTACTCCTCCCCAGTGGGATGACTGGGCCATGAATCAGCTTCCAAAGAGAATGGCTGCCCCAAGGAATACCGTTGAGCTGAGTCAGGAACAGTCAGCAGAAAGCGGGGCTACGAGCAGCCCTGACAGACTCGGAACAGCTCGCCTGAGGCTCTTTGCCCAGCAGGAAGAGCGTCAGGCCTTCTAGTCACCTGCCACCAGCACGCACTTGGCACCTGGTATGGGGCAGGGGGCGGGAGGGAGCCCCGTGGAATCCACACTCTGGGAAGCAGCAAGGCTGCCCGGAAAAGGCAAGGACAGGGCTCCAAGGCTCACCTCCTCGCTCCAAAGACATCATCTGAGGGAAGGAAGTCCCTCTTTATCAAGATCAGAGCCTTTGTTTACAGAGCTGTTTGCTGGACAATGGGAATGAGACCTGGGCGGCCTTCTGAATTCACAAATATGGGTCAGCATAGCTTTTGGCATTGAGAGGTTACATCCAAATGTAGTGATAATTTTTAAAAGGGGAAGACCCCCCAAAACCTATAACCTCAGTCTGTTTAATCATGAGCAAAACAAACTCTAGTAGTGGGGGCATCTGACAGAACACCCGAGCAGCAGTCCTCAGGACTCTCGAGGTCATCAAAAACAAGGAGAGCCTCATAGAGAAAATGAGCTTCTGTTACCCAAGAGGAAAGTGGGGTAGGTGTGGGGGGATGACTTAGGAGTGTGGGATTAACATCTACACATCAATATACATAAAACAAGTAAACAACAAAGGCCTACTATATAGCAACAGGGAACCATACTTAACATCTTGTAAAAACCTACAATGGAAAATGATCTGAAAAAGAAAACGTATGTATGTATAGCTGAATCACTCTGCTGTACACTTGAAACTAACACAACAGTGTAAATTAACTATGCTTCAATTAAAAAAAAAAAAAAAAAAAAAGGACAGTCTGAGAAACTATCCCAGCCTAGAGGAATTTAAAGAAACATACCAACCATTAATAGATGTAATGTGGTATCCTAGGTGGGATCGTAGAACAGAAAAAGCACACAAGGTAAAAGCTAAGGAAATCTGCACAAACTATAGACTTTAGTTAACGATGATGTATAAACACTGGTCCATTAATTACAACAAATGTACCATACTAATGTAAGATGTTAACAACAGGGAAACGGGTAGCAGGACATACGGGAATCCTCTGTACTATCATCTCAGTTTTTCCATAAATCTAGAACTGTTCTAATATATAAAGTCTGCCTAAGAAAATTTGGAGGGAAGGAAAACAGAAACTTACCTTCACAGGATATCTTTTTTAATGCTATTGATTTGATAATATTGAGAAATTTTTACCAAAGTTGTTTAAGTATGAGTCGGATACAAAATGACAACTAGGAAAAAAAAAGCACAATCTAAAAGTTGAGAGCCCTATTTTATTTGGTGGACATTCTGAGGACTTCAAGCCTGGGAGACAGGACTCTCACATCCCTCTAAGGGATGTCTGCAAAGAGGCAAGGTGGGGAGCCAGGGTATACAAGAGCTTTTGCAACAAAGATCAGGTAGTTGGAACTTCAAAAGATCACTGTTAATTAAAGAAAAACAGACATCTCAAAGAACTGAGCCCTTTTTCCACGTATGAGAAGATGCCAAGGTCAGGGTTCACTGAAATCATTCCTTTGATGCACAGCTCAGCTTTCTGGGGTCAGTATCCTGTGCTTTCTCATCCTGAGTCTCCTCGGGTGCACCATCTGCTGGGAGGCGGGGCGGGGGGAGTTGTAATGTGATGGCTTGATGGCTGTAACATCCCTTGTTTACTAATATGGCAGCCAACATTTTTTCCATTGCCACAATCTTAGAATTCCAATGACATATCCAAGCAGACTCACGCCCCCCTGGCTACCTTTCCCTACCTGGGTCCTAATGCACCCACGCAGCCAGGTTTGGAATGACCATCCTATCCTAACCTTGAGTAACTCACAGGGCCCCACACTGCCCCTCCTCCTTGATCCCCACTGTCTCCTGCCCAGGTCACAGGCTCCAGAGCAGTGCACCACTTCTTGCCTCCAGTCTATCCATTCATCACATGTCCTGGGTGCTGAGTTTTGGGGCCTCCCCATGGACCACCTGCCCCCTGCACACTGTGCTCTAAGATGCTTCACCACCTCTAGCTACAGCCCCGCTTCTCCCTCTCTCTGCCCCCCAAAGGGGAGGAGCCTCCCTCCCAGTTCCCCCTTCCTCACCTCTGAGACTCTTCTCTAGAAGCCTTGTCATCCGGCTTCTCATCTACCACCCTAACACTGCTCTCCCCAAGGGCTCGGATGACTGCATCGTTGCTAAGCCTGAGGATGCTTTCCAGACCTCATGGGACTTCACTGTGCCCGTCTTGATGCCACCTCTTCTGTCCTGAGATCCCTCGCTCTCTCCGGTCCTCCTCCAGCCTTTCTGATGTGACACCTTCACTCAAGGCTCTCATTCCAACTGACCCTTAAATGCTGCCCATCCTCAAATCCTCAGCCTCTGAAGCTTCAGACCAGGTTCTGAGAGCAAGAACACAGTCTGCACTATCTCTGTGCTCCCAGGCTGGCACTTCCTAGGGATTTGATGATTTTTTTTTTCTTTCATTGAATTGAACTCTGTTTGAACATCCTAACCATCCATTAGAGAAGCATTCAAGATGTATGAAATATCATTTGTTTATGCTCCTAAGAATTTCTAAGATTCTATCAATGAAATGTTCAGCAATTCTAACCTTCTAATATCCTTTAACATGTGGCTCTAGCATGAGTAACAACTAGCATTTATTGACAGCCTGAGCAAATTCCTTCACACACATTATTTGCCAAATCTTATTCCTAAGGACACTAATAACACGTGTTTCAAAGGAAAAGGATTCAGTTGTCTAACAAGTATGGGAAATCCTGAGTTAAACAAAGCTCGCTGGAGTTCTTTTCTGCAGGACTACACATTGAAAATACTCAAAAGGAGAACATTTTTTTTTTCAAGAAGAGAACATTTTATGTATCGTCCCAAAACTAAATGGCAGGGGCCCAGTGATGGGCTGATAAACAGTTGACAACTGGCTTTTGAAGGGAAAAGACCCTGTTTATAGCATTTGCCAATTTCCTTGGTGTAAACACTTTCCCCACATCTTGTTTCAAGCTACCAACTCGAAGGCAGAGTTGGAAAGAGATGTGCATCGACACACCATTAGTATTTCCATGATTAGACAGGATCAACATAAAAACTCAAGAACATGGTGAAATGCAGTAAAATTATTAGGAAGCAAAAAAATGTTGAGTACATTACCTTCATTTTTAATACAGTTCATTTAATTGTAAGCTTATATAACTGATTTTTCAACAATCCCATACACTCACACAGGCACACACACACAGACAGCACTGCTGTCTCCAGCTCGCAGCGCCTCTCCTCCTATAGGTTAAATCGAGTGTGAACCGCAAAAATGCCGAGTACCAGCTCAGAGGAGAGTCTGCCGGCAAGGTCTTCCGCGTCGACGAGAACACAGGAGACGTGTATGCCTTAGAGAGGCTGGACAGGGAGAAGGTCTCTGAGTACCACCTCACTGCCCTCGTGGTGGACAAGGGCACCAAGACGAACCTGGAGGCTCCTTCCAGCTTCACCATCAAAGTCCACGACGTCAACGATAACTGGCCTGTGTTCACCCACCGGGTGTTCAATGCCTCCGTGCCCGAGATGTCAGGGATAGGTATGTGCCGGGCCTGTCCCTCTCCCTCTCCCCTCACACATCCCTGATCCAGAGGCACCTCTCCCATCAGCAGCTTCGCTGCCTGAAACAGGATTCAGTGAGTTCCAAGCAGTGATGGGGATGCATGTAGTGCCAATTTCTGTGACTTGAAAGGAACGCTGGTCCCTAACGACTAAACTCTGACCTGGCCCCAGACAGAGCCCTGATTGTCACACACCACACACACACACACACACACACACACATCCCCCCACACATGCCCACACACACACCACACATACACACACACACACCTTGTTACTCTTTGAAGGCAACCCCACCCACTGCTCTGACTCTCAGGGCTGGCATGCCGAGAGCATAGACCTCACACATGAAGGAGGCCAACTCTGCAACCAAGATAAGGAGGCACCATTGGGGTCCATGCAGGAGTCGGGGGGGGGGGGCCGCAGTGGAGAGGGACACAGCCTCATCCCCAGGTATGTCACCAGCCCAGACCCTAGGCCACCAGAGGAGACTGTTTCTTCCTCAATTCTACTCCCAGCCTCCAGGGGATGCAAGAAAAGAGCTCCCACCCCCACCCCTTAGTCCAGGCTCTCTGGCCAGGGCTCAAGACCAGACGTTCTTGTCGAGCCTGGGGAGCCTGGAGTTCAAGGGGAAAGAGATGTGACCCCCCCCAGTCTTTGGGGCCCTTCCTATTCTCTTGTTCTCATGCTTCCAGGAGCAAAAAAAGAAAAAGCAGCTCTTCCTCTGTTTCTCCCCATGACACCAGACACTCACCCCTCCCTCATTTCCCCCACAAATGAAAACCACCTGTTCTCTTCACCCTTCACGTCTGACTGGGCTGGGCCTCCAGCACTGCCAGCCCTTCAGTGCCAGGCAGGCTCCTCAGAAAACAGAACCTGGGGGAGGGGGTTCAGGGAACAGCCTGAGCCCCATCTGCCCTCACCTGGGAACGGGGCGAGGGGCTGACAGTCACAAGGCAGCAACCCCGGATTCTCTCCTGGCAGGGACCTCGGTCATCCAGGTGACTGCAGTGGATGCAGACGACCCCACGGTGGCAGACCACGCCTCTGTCGTGTACCAGCTCACGAAGGGAAAAGAAAACTTCGACATCCGTGGTCCTGGTCTGTGTGACTAGCCCCCCCCCAGGCAGCACTGGCTGGGAGCGGGTGGAGGTGCAGGCACAGAGGGAAGCCCAGTCTGACAGGTGTCACCAACCACTGACACGCACTTTCCTGCAGATGTGGTCAGTCCCACGTGTCAAGACAAGGGGGCTGGGGAGGGCAGGAGGAGGCAGACATGAATTCAGGATGTGAATTCAAGTAGAGGGGACAAAAATCCGGATGCAAGCAGTGACTCGAGAGGCGGACGAGAATGCTTGTTGGCAGCTCTGGCTATGGAACCACACAGATCTGGTTTCTAACCCCATCTCTGCTGCTCACTGCTTCTAAAGACCTTGGGCAAATCAACCAGAGCACTGGCGAGTCCTCCTGGTGAAAACAGGGAAGGTTATATGCATGCACCTCATACAGGAGCTGTGAAGTCTGAATTAGATGACGTATAAAGAGCATGTGGCTCGTTGTCACTAGCCATCCCATGTGACCTAAAAAACTGTGCGGACTGAGTCTTGGGAGAAAGACAGAAGTCCAAGAGGTCAGGCCTGGGGCATGCCACCATTCAGAACAATGGCAAATACACAGTACAACCTACGCTGCACCGAGGCCTAACCCATGACAGCACTTTGCTCAGTCTGAGCCTAGATGTGGCCTCAGGCTCTTTCTCAGCCCATAGTGGACCAGAGTGCTTGTGTGGCTTTGGCCTAGCAGTGCAGGGCGTGGAGATGGGTGGTGGATTTCGCCTGGCTCTTGGCCCTGGCTGCACAGGGAAGTTACCCAGGACCTCTGAAGTCACGGCTCTCTCAGTAGTGTCTGGGCATCCATATTTTTTAAAAGCTCCCCAGGTAACATGGTTCCTGACAGGACACATTTTGCAGGACTCATTGTCACCATGAACAAAAACCTGGACCGAGAGATGCAGGACAAGTACGAGGTTGTGGTGGAAGCAGAAGATGCCCAGGGCCGCCGGGGGGAGTCAGGCACAGCCACCGTGTTCATCACTCTGCAGGACGTCAACGACAACTTCCCCATCTTCACCCAGAGTGAGACCCTCTCCCTGGGCCCTGGCGGGGTAGGGGGGCTCTCAGGGAGGAGCCTGGCGTCCATTTACCTCTCCCTCCACCCCAGAGTGGGCCTACATCAGAGATGCCTTCCCAGTGCTCCCCGTCTCTGCACATACTCCCAAGCCTGCACACCTGGGCTGCCAGGACGCCCTCCTGGGCCATCAGCAGGTCACACTCACTGTTGTGTGTCATGTACCCAGAGTCCCACTACCAGACAGGACCAGTTTCACCAGATCCCATGACCTCAGGAAAACCCACAAGCCGGGGAGCCGGGGTTCAGCAGAGCACCAGAGCCAGGGCTGGGCCCTGACCCACCCACAGACTGATTCTCCCCACAGGAAAATGTCCAACAAGAGCTCTTCCCATGCGCTGGGTGGGCTGGGGAGGAAGGTCAGATAGATGGCTCATCACCCGCACCTCCAAGGCTGATGTCACTCGGAGGCTCAGCCACTGCAAGAACAGGCCAGTTTACCCTAAAACAACCTCACTGTATACAGTGAAAGCTCCTCAAAGGCAGGGCTTCTCTCTCTTGGCAGCTGACAGATCCCCTAGCAAAGTGCCTGACATACAGGAGGTGCTTAATAACTACCTGTCAGATGGATGAAGGGATGAAAGGACAGATAGAGTGGAACCTCTGTGCCTTGGGACCCAAAATTCCAGAGGAATTACTATTACTACTGCTGCTCCTTTATTGTGACCGTTTCCTGTATCAAAATATCCTGAGATAGTATATGTGACAATTACCTTGTCTGTCTCATTAACCCAATGCCCTTTGGGGCGCCCCTTTTGCATCAGCCAGGTACACGTTTTCTGTGCCAGAAGACATCCGTGTGGGCAGCCCCCTGGGCTCTCTGTTTGTTGAGGACCCAGACGAGCCCCAAAACCGGAAGACCAAGTACAGCTTCGTGCAGGGCGCGTACAGGGACACCTTCACCATCGAGACGGACCCCACCCACAACGAGGGCATCATCAAGCCCATAAAGGTTTGCAGGCCTGCAGCAGGGGCATCAGATGGGGGGCTGGGGGCTCCTGGCATGCTCAGGACTCAGCCAGGGGCTGCTCCCGGGCCAGAGGCCACCAAAGGTCCACATCTGGGCCAGTGCGGAGCAGGCCATGTGCTCGTGGATCCTGTGACCCTGGAGCTGGGACATGGAGCCACAAGAGAAAGGTCAGTCCCTTGGGCTGGGCTACCCCAGAACCAGACCTTGAGGCAAGGACTTAGGTGTATACAGCTTATCTGGGGGGGAGGGGTGATCTCAGGAAGCCTCAGGAGCCGTGAAATGGAAAAAGGAGGAGAGTTAATACAGGCTCCTTAGTGAGCAGGTGATCACTGTGGGCGAGTGGGGCACGGTCACACTGGGACATCTGGGCGACTGTGTGGAATATACTTCTGAGTCGCAGCAGTTGTGGGCTGCCTGAGGGCTCCTGGGGGCTCACTTCCTGGCACTTTCTGATCTGCCATACAGGTGCTCGTGGCCAAAAGCCGTCAGTGCGTAAGGCAACAGTGGACACCATGGGGATGGGGTGCCCACTGGCAGTGGCTGCTGCAGAGAGAGCAGTCAAACCAGCTGAATCTAGAAGAGGAGAGGTCTGCAAGGGGCACAAACTGCCTTCAGGATGGCCATGCTGAGGACTAGGGGGCCCAGGCCAGGGATCTCCTCCTCAGAGGGGACAGTCAAACCCATGTCCCTGAGCCAGACCGCTCCTCCAGCAGACCTCTCTGGAGTCCCTCTCTGATCCAGCCCTGTGCTGGGAACTGGATATACCCAGGGGAGTCAGACAGCCTCCATGGTACCAAGGCTCTCGACCAGTAGGGAGAACACACACACACACCAAAGGGGACCCAGGCAGGGAGCAAAACTACCTGCGTCAGGAGGGGCAGGAACAGGCTCTATGAGGACGTCTGGTTACGTTCAGACAGGCTCCTTGATGGGGTGAGGAGGAGTGTGGCAAGCAGGCAAAAGACTTGAGCAAAGGCACACAGAAAAGGCACGGCTTTGAGGAGCTGTGGGAAGAACCGCTAGCCTGTACTCCCCTTATAGCAAGAGTATGGCTGATCCGCTTGGTGTCCCCAGTACTCAGAATAGAGCCAAGGTCAGGACAAAGCTGAAGACAGCCAGGCCACAGGCCCCTCATCTGTTTAACAGGTGTCATCCCAGCACTACCTTGCAGGGCCTGGTTCAGAGAAGGAGCTCACCACACTGTTTCCTCCCACAGCCCCTGGACTATGAACGCATCCGGCAATACAGCTTCACCATCGAGGCCACAGACCCCACCATTGACCTCCGCTACCTGGGCAGCACCTCCCCCAAGAACATCGCCCGTGTCATTATCAACGTCACAGACGTGGATGAGCCCCCCATCTTCCAGCAGCCTTTTTACCACTTCCAGCTGCAGGAGAACCAGAAGAAGCCTCTGATTGGCTCAGTGCTGGCCAAGGACCCTGACGCTGCTCAACGGGACATCAGGTAAGGGGGTGGAGGTCATGAGAATGGTGATGGTCATGACCACACCCTGGCACCAAGGTTCTTACAGTCAGCTGGGCTGAGCCCAGGATGCCAAGGGGGAAACTGGCTCCTCACAGCACGGACACTGGGTGTGGGCAAGGGCAGGACAAGAAGCCCAAGCTCTTCCACTAACCCACGTGGCCAGGTATAATCTTGTCCCGCCCAGGTACCCACCTAGCACAGTCCTGGCCATTACAGCTGCCCATTGTCTGCTCTACCTTGAAGGGGAAGTACAGGTTCCCAGGGGTCCCATCTGGGGAGATCTGATGGTTAAGAGGACAACCAACTTGACATACGTGAAACCCCTTCACTAAATATGTTTCATTACAAGTGTCTTCCCAAAACCACAAAAGGGAAAAGTTCATTTCACACAATGAAACAACACAAAGATTTACAAAGAAAGCATCAGTAACCCTGACTTCCAGACAACTCATGTTCATGGTGTGCTGTGATCCTGTGACGCTTTTCTCCATGACCACACAAACACCTGCAGACATTTGTGGTGGATTTGTCATTTGTTTCAGGGCTCTGATTGTTTTAAATTTTTTCTGGATCATAGTATGCCCATTTCAACTTCTCAGGGGTAAAGAATTCACCTCCTAATGCAGGAGACGGAAGTTCAATCCCTGGGTTGGGAAGATCCCTTGGAGAAGGAAATAGCAGCCCACTCCAGTATTCTTGCTTGGGGAATCGCACTGACAGAGGAGTTTGGTGGGCTCCAGTCCATAGTGCCAAGAGTTGGATGTGAATTAGCAACTAAACCACAATTATGACCATTTCATCACTACTTGTTCCTCCATCTCAACTAGGCACCTCTACCCTCTGTGACAAAAGATGTAGTTCCAGCCCATACTTTCTAGGGCCACATAACATTTTAGAGTATGAAGTTCATGCAGTTTCATTTTATTCCAGAGCTGGTAGCCAACTGTGCCAGCACCACTAATCAAATAAGTCATCATTTTCTACCTTTGTTACATACTGAGTTCCTGTATATCCTTGAATCTATTTTTGAATCCTTTGTTCTGTAGCAAAGTCATTCCATTTTATTGTAGCAGCTTTCTACTAAAACTTGGTATGTATAACACAAGTCCCTCCCCCAAGTATTTTTTCACTTTATATAACTTTAATGCATTCTCAAACATCCGTTCTTTCTTGTGAACCATAAAACTCTTGAGTTTTATAAAAAGCATTAGAATTCTAATGAGAATTGTGTTTGCATATCAGTTTGGGGAGAGTCAACGCTTCCCTGGTGGCTCAGAGGGTAAAGCGTCTGCCTGCAGTGCGGGAGACCCAGGTTCAATCCCCGGGTTGGGAAGATCCCCTGGAGAAGGAAATGGCAACCCACTCCAGTACTCTTGCCTGGAAAATTCCATGGACTGAGGAGCCTGGTGGGCTACAGTCCATGGGGTCGCAGAGAGTCGCACACGGCTGAGCGACGTCACTTTCACCTTCAATGCTCTATTAAGGATAAACGTGTCCCTCCCTTTTGACCACATCTCATAAGTTTGGGGATGACTGTTTTCATAGCCATTCTATTTTAAATAGTCTGTAATGATAATTTTTATTTCTTCACTGATCCAATGGTTTATTTAAGAGACCTTTCTTCCCATTTACAAGTGGTAGGGCATTTTTTGGTTTTAACATGTTCTGTGGTATAACACAACTGTCCTTTTGTCCATTTTCCTCTGTAATATCTAAGCTTCTGCTTTATGTATTTTAACTTTTTCTATTCAGTTAACAAAGGTTTATAATTATTTTACCTTCATATTGACTTGTCTCTTTCATCCTTATGACACAGTTTGTCCTGCTTAAATATTTTGTCCTCTGCTTCATGTTGCCTGATGTAAGGTTTGTCAGTACTGTTTTCATGTTACTGATGTTCGCCTGAAATTTTCCGACCTTTGCTCTTTTTATAGATAATTTTATTTACTTATTTGGCTGTGCTGCATATTCACTGTTGCACAGGCTTTTCTCTAGTTGTGGCAAGCAGGGGCTACTCTCTAGCTGCTGTGTGCGGGCCTCGCGTGCCAGTAGTTTCCCTCATTGTGTGCAGAGCACGAGCTCTAGAGCTTGAGGGCTTCAGCAGTCACAGTTCCCAGGCTCGAGAGCACAGGCTCAGAGTCGTGGCACATGGGCTTAGTTGTTTTGCAGCATGTGGGATCTTCCCAGACCAGGGATCAAACCTGTGTCTCTTACACTGGCAGGCAGATTCTTTACCACTGAGCCATCAAGCCCCAATCTTTACTTTTAATATTTCTAGGTCATTCGGCATTTAAGTTGTGTCCTGAAACTGGAATGCAGATGGCTTTTCTTTTCAATTGAAACTGAGAGGCTTCATGTTTAACCTATTTACATTTTTCATCATAAATGATGGGTTTGATCTTATTTCTTTTAGCCTGTTTTACATTGGCTATTTCTCAAAATTAATGACTTTTTTCTCTTCCCCATCTTTGTTGTAGTTTATTTTTTTCACATTTTTTCTCCTAGGTATTTGGATGAAATATATGCATTTTTACTTCTGCCAGTGACATTATTTCTAACTGTAAAACTTAAACTGGTATCCTGGACCAATATTTTCTACTTATAAATCTCTCTCTCTCACACACACACACCACCACCACCACCACCACCACCACCACTGCTTTCCTATTTATGATAAAGAAATCAACAATTTCCATTTAATTCCTCCCAAGCCAGATTTTTTACTTTATTTTGAGACATTTCTTAGATGAAGTGAGTTTTCACAAAAAGTTTTTCAGGACCCATCTTGTGGGTGATATACTTCCTGAGTTCTTTCATATTTACAAATCAAAAATATTATCAATGTCTTCTAGTGCTTAACATTATGTGAATGTCTAGGATTAAGTCTGATTTCTCTTTCTTTATAAGGATGTATTTTTCTGTCTGGCCTCTCTTCAATTTCTTTACACACCTCTGAAATTCCAAAGTATCATCAGAATATAGCTAAACATTGATCTTTTTTCCACTATGCCTGATATCAGTGACCTCTTTTAATATATAAACTTGGGTCTTTGTTCAGATCAAGAAGTTTTCTTTTATTACATCATTTGTTATTTCTTCTGTTCTCTTTGTTCTGGAATTTTCCTTAGTATTAGAAAAAATATATCTGGAACATTATGGATTTTTTTCACCTCTCTTTTCTTCTCTTCATGCCTTTTTCTTAAGGACTTTTCAAAGTTTTACTTCACAAATTTAATTTCCTTTCAATCACTTCTTACCTCTTCTGGTTCCTTTTTTTATTTCTTCCTGGCTCTTACCCAACTTATCTTTTCATTAATCACAAAATCCAATTCAAGCTGGAGTAAAGCTGACTACAGTGCCACCTGCCTCAACTCTGAAGATACTGTTGATGGAGTCTCAGGGTCCACCCTCATCCCAGTGATCGCAACAGTGCCTGGATCAAAGAGATTATCTCATTACTCTGATGCTCTCTGGGTAGTCAGGTGCAATGAGCAGTGAGAGAAGGGTGGGGGATGATGCAAGGGACGGATCCTAAAGGGCCTCGTCTGTCCTTCTGGGGAGTCTGGACTCCACAAAGAACAATGGAAAGCCATGAAATCCCTTGAAACTCTTTCCCCTGGACAGGTACTCCATCCGTAGGACCAGTGACAAGGGCCAGTTCTTCGGAATAACCAAGAAAGGGGATATTTACAATGACAAAGAACTGGACAGAGAAGTGCACCCTTGGTACAACCTGACAGTGGAAGCCAAAGAGGTGGATCCTAGTGGTGAGTGGCCCCTTTCGCCAGATGGCCTGGGCTCTTCTCCTTTCCTCATTCTTTTAAAATTGGCATAAGCTGTCATTTGAGGCCTCCAGAGGTACTGTAAAGCACTGCTGGTGCACCACTTGGCTGGGATGCTACAGGGCCTCCAGCCCCAAGTGTAGATGGACCAGCCATATCCATGTCACCTGAGACTGTGTTAGAAGACCAAAACGGCAGGCGCCAACCCCAGACTGAGTCAGACTCTCATGCACACTACAGTTTAAGAAGCACTGTTCCAAAACAGGCTGCCATATGTCCCTGTGATGGGAATCACATGAGTCACCTCTTAAACACAGAGCTTCTCAGATGACTCTCTGGAGGCCCTAGTCCAGAGAGTCAGAAAGAGCAGGGAATGTGCACTGAACAAGTGCCGTGTGATTTTTATTATCATGGACATTTGGGAAAGGCTGCTTTGGAGACTGTTTATGTGCCAGTTAGTGGGTTGAATTCAAAATCTGAAGCACTTGCCAACTCTAAGATTGTTAGTCTCCAGAAAGTAGGGTAACTGTTGCCAGAGGGAAAGGCAGGTGTTGGAGCTTTGCATTCTTAGCCTATGTGAAAAAAAACACAACTACTCTCCAGGAGAAGGATCAACATTCCACACCTTTCCCGGAGACCAGTGGGGCCCAGAAAAGGGGTGACTTGGCCAAAGTTCCACTGGTGCTAACCAGGAGGGTCCCTGCCTCCTGCTGGCAGCATGTCCCCCACACGGCAGCCAGGCCAACTTCAATAGACTTCTGAGTGCTTTCCAGATCAATCTTTGCCCCTTTCTTCCCCATCTAATCTCACTCATACAATTTTTAAATCTTATAGTAATAGCTTACTGTGCATTTTAAAATATAGAAAATACAAAAAAGAAAAAGAAAAGTATCCCTCTGCCATAACCCCACCATACAGCAATAGTTACCGGTAGCACTCTAGTGTGTTTCCTCTGGTCTTTTTTCTATCTGTCATTTTATACAAGTGAAATCATAGTACCCTGAATTTTTACTTAAGTTTATTCCAGAATTATTTTCTCATGGTACTAAAATGTCTTTATTAAAGAGATTACAACTTTTAAAATGTAATTTACATGGTCCATTCTTTTAAACTGGCCCTGTTTATTAAAGCAATTTCACACAGACTGTTTACCTTTTCAATTATTCTGTAGTTAATTTATTTAAATTGGTTTGATTACTTAAATTACTGCATTGATTTAATAATTACTTAATTGATTTAATTAAAACCTTTAAAAATACACTTACATTGTTTCTCTTTTTGACTCTTACAAGTAATTCTCTAGCAAATATCCTTATGCATGAGGCTTTACCCCACTTCCTCTTCTGTTCCTTTCATCCAGAACGCCATCCCTGGCCATCCTTCTAAATGTCCACAGCCCCCTCTTCCAGAAAAAAGAGCACCCCTCCAGGACTCCCACCAATACACCTTCTAATCTCAGGGCTGACATCTGCTAAATCCACTGTAGTGACGAGTCCTTTCTCCTGCAGGGACTCCCACGGGCAAAGAATCCATCGTGCAGGTCCACATTGAAGTTATGGATGAGAATGACAACGCCCCAGAGTTTGCCAAGCCCTATGAGCCCAAAGTGTGTGAGAATGCCCCCCAGGGCAAGGTGAGTCTGGCTCAGGTGGGAGGGTGAGGCAGTGCCTGCCTGGGTCAGACCAAAGGGGCAGCACCTCCCAATCACAGTCAGCTGGCACTTCATGAGCTTAATGTAACCTGTACAACAGCCTTGAGGAAAGATGACATTCCCCCTATAGATGGTGAAACTGAGGCTCAGAGAGAATGTGTAGTGAGCAGATTCGTGGGCAGGCAGGTGGCAGAAAGAGTGACTTTTGGAGACCATTGAGATTAGTGTTACAGTGAGAGGCAGCCACAGTCAGGTCTAAACCCAAAGTCCCTCACCATCACTGAAATCCCAGCCAACTCACCACCACCACTGATCATCCCCGTCTTCCACCCTCCAGCTGGTCGTGCAAATCTCGGCAATAGACAAGGATATAACACCACGAGATGTGAAGTTCAAGTTCTCCCTGAGCACTGAGGACAGCAACTTCACCCTCATTGATAATCACGGTGCGCCTTGAAGCAGTCAGCCTGGCTCTTGGAGTGGGTGGGGTTGGGGGTGGGGAGGTGGCGGTCAGAGATGGAGTTATTTGAGTCTTGAGATGCCAGGGTCAAGGACTAAGCCAATGAATCAGGTGCCCTCCCTGGGGCTATCAAGTTCCAAGATATTGTATACAATTCCCACCACATACCTTATTGGTCTGTGTAATGGTCAGAACCACCCCGGCCACACTGCCAAGTCCACATGGCTTTGCCTTTTCCCTTCAGATGCCCAGGTCACTGAATAGGCACAGAATAGATATGGGGTGTAGACAGCCTGGTTCACAAACTAACTAAGGGTCTCCTTCCCATGGGATCTCTGTGGTCAGTACAACTGCAAATTACTCTATGACATGGAACTTTGAGGTTGCTCCCAAAGAGCCAAAATGGGACATTTGAAACCAAAATGCCAAGAATACAGTGTTTTGATTTGGCCACAATGACTACTTAACACCAGGTGTCCTCAGGATGGGATCTGGTCTACCAGTCACATCCCAGAGTCCTGTGATGTCAGCAGTGGCCAATCAGAGCTGCTGATGAGTATGTGCTTCCCAGAGTGATGAAGCTGAGTTGGCTGGATTCCAGCCAAAAACAGACAGGCTTCCATGCTTTCTGCACCTTCCTCAGAAAAAAACATAGAAAATCCCCCTTGGGTCTAAAGAGAGCAATCCTTCCTCCAGAATGGGGTGGACTCCCTGCCCATCCCTAACTGGCAACATGGCGGTTCGTGAGGATCCCACCATAGAAACAGCCATTGCCACCTCTGAGGAAGGTCAGGGACTGGGATCCCTGAGAGTGAGGGGGACCCAGGGGACCAGCCACAGACTCATCCTGAAGGGATGAGGATGGTAGCCAGGACATGCTGACAATCAGGGCCATACCATTCAATATTCCGCTGTCTTTAGTAGTAAATAATGTAGAAAAAATACCTGTCACAACCATCCCCAGTGCCAACCTCAAACCCACCTCACAGGAGGTCAGCAATGGAGTCAAAAGCTTAAGTGTCACCCCAAAGACACCCCACATGTGATCAGGAGATAAGTTTGTTGGTCTCAGACTACTTAAAACATGAATGTCCTGCTACAATATTATATGAGTATAGCAAGAAATCTCTAATTTATCTCATACGGTCTCAGTGGCCATACTGTTACTATTTTCTATTATAGTAGATCTGGCTACTTAATAATGAAATGTAATTGGCTTCCATTTGAAATCTATAAGACGGCCTCCTTTGCTTTTGGCTTCCTGAGTATGCCAACCCCACCCATGTGGCTATATAAAGCCTGGAGTAGGGAATCCCTGCACCTTTGACCATCACAACCTCCCAGGAGCCAGTAAAAGACACATTTTCCTGGCCTCTGCCCAGAGGCACTAAATCAGAAATTCAGGAAAGGAGAAGGGGGAAAAAGAAGGAAGGAGAAGTAGAGGGGAGGTGGGTGGGAGTGGGGTCTGAAAATCAACATGTTTAAAAATCTCCCTGGGGAATTCTGTACATGGACTGATTGGAGTTGAGAGGGAGAACCAATATTTGGGCCAAAGCACAGTCCCAATTCCAGGCTGCCCAGGGAATCCTCAATTACAAGTGTAATCACTCCCCCAGTGCTTCAGGGGACCTGTGCATTGGTCTTACTTTCTAATGGATTTTCAGGGATAGCAAAAACAGCCTTAGAAGTTAGCCTAACGCTAAAAGACTTTTTAAATTTTGTAAGACTTTGTTTTCCCCTGATTGTTCATCAAAGCTTGAAACAATGCATTAATTAACTGAGAGTTCTCTCTTACTGAAGTAGGGTTAGGGGTCAGGTATTTCAGTTACCCATAGAAACAAAAAAGCGAGGATTTTAAGTACTGGCCAAGTCCTTCTTAGAGGCCAAATCGAAGCAGCTGCCCAAAACATCCCCTCTCTGGAGGAACAGACCAGCCCTCAAATGGCTAAAACATGAGGCAGGGGTATAAAGGGCAGACACATGGCCCAGGCAGCACATGAGCTGGTCCAGTTACTGAGGGCTTCCTGGAGGAGGTGGGCCACGCTGTCGGTGTTGATGAGAGAATGGGCACTCCAGACAGCAGCGCCTGACTCCAAGGCCTTGGTGTTTCCAGATAACACGGCCAACATCATAGTCAAGTACGGGTATTTTGACCGGGAGCGTGCCAAGGTCCACCACCTGCCCGTGCTCATCTCAGACAATGGGAGGCCCAGCCTCACAGGCACCAGCATGCTGCACGTGACCGTGTGCAAATGCAACGAACAGGGCGAGTTCACCTTGTGTGAGGAGATGGCCGCCCAGGCAGGCATCAGCATCCAGGCGCTGGTCGCTATCTTCCTCTGCATCCTCACCATCGCAGGTCAGTGCGCAAAAGGATGGGAGGGGACGGTGAGGGGGCTGCGGGGATCCAGGCAGGCCCAACCCTGCTGCTTTCAGCCCAAAGTGCAGCCTTGTGCCGGGTGTGAGGTCCACCTCCTTGGGTGCCGCAGGGTGGGAGTGGATGACAGGGGAGGAGGAGGTGCGGCTCAAGACCCCTTCCCCAGTTTAAAATACTTTATATAACATTCAGTCATTCAACTGACATATTTTGAGCACTTATTGTGTGTCAGGCACTGTTCTAGGCACTTTTTATATAAAATCTCATTTGAAAAAAAAAAGAGGATCCAGTCTCTCTTTTGGAGAGAAATGAGAAGTGTAAAATTTCTAGTTTAAATTATCACCTGGGTGGGGCTTTCTTCTCTTTTTTTAGGATTCCTCCAGCCTTGATCTTTGTCTCTTTTTTTTTTCCCCTTGTTTGGGCCTCAGAAATTTTAGGGGCATTTTAAACCTGGCCTCAGCATAGGTTCTCCAGGAAGTAGACCCTGGGAAAAGGATTTATTTATTTGAGAAGTGGTCCCAGGAAGGCCCAGAAGGAAGAGCTGGAGTTCTGACAGGGAAAGGAGGTGCAGAGCAGTGAAGGAGATGAAGGGAGGTGAAAGGAGCTGGTGAAGGGCAAGCTGTCACACAAGCTGCCCCCACGGGTCACCAGAGCTTCTTCTCCCTGGGGGCTGGGCGGCAGCACTCACAGTCATGTTCATCTACCAGTGCCCACCAGTGGATGGCTGGGGTTCCCCCTGCTCTTCAGCTGGGGCAGGAGCCAGCCATCCAGAGGAAGCCCTTGGGTGGTCAGAGGTCACTCTGCGTCCTACAGTGACAGGACCGGGGACACAGTGGGGCACCCACATTATCTGCCCCAGGCCTTTCCTGCCAGTGGCTCCCCTGAGAGGCCCCCTGGCAGAGCCCCCCTTCTGTGGCAAAGAGGACAGACTGAGATTCCCCTCTCAATAAAAATCTGTAATAATGATGATCCTGGCATCCCCACCACACGTAGAATTGCACTTAACCTCGCAGCCACCCTATCAGATGTAAACAGCAGAGGAGTCATCACTTCCATTTTACAGACAAGGAAATAGACTCAGAGGGCCATCCTGGCTTGCCTAGTAAGAGTTTCTTAAGTATCTCCAGGCTAGAAGGACAGAGTCTAGGGATGTTCTGGGCCTACTTCCAGGAGCTCTCTGCCCCACATGGTCCACCCCTCCTAGGGCTGGCAACCCTTATGCAGTCATACCCCTCAGAGCTCTGAGCAGGGCCAACATCACACCACTGCCTGATCATGCGACTCTGGGCAAGTGACTCAGCTTCTCTGAGATCAGTCCACTTATGTAAAATGGGATAATAATACCTACCTTGAGTAAAAGAACACGAAAACGTGCCACCACCATGCCAGAATGTACACAATAGGTGTGCTCAAGAGTGGCTGCTGCTACTGCAATGGGTGCCATGTCCACCAGCTCCGTCATGACCCACCATCCTCATCATGGCTCAGAATCTTTGCACCCCAAATTCCAACTCCATCTTTCCCCCTCTTCTGCCCCCACCTCTGGCCTCCTGGCCTTTGCAGATGACAGAGAATTTGTCACAGTGCTAAGACGTGGGAGGTTGCAGTTAGATGGGAAGGAGAGTGGCAGGAGAAAATGAACTTAAGAGGAGGTCCACTGCATTCCTCTCCTCCCATCCCTACTGTGGTCAGTGACACCAACAAGGATCATACCCTGGGGTGGGGGTGGGATGGACATGACTCTGGGCTGGGAGTGAGGGTGCTGAGGGTGGACCCACCATGACTCCAGATGGAACCAAAGCTTCTGTGTTGGCCCAGGTGTCACTGGGAGCTGGGCTGGTGCAGGGATGCCCAGGGAGGAGGGGAGGGAGCAGGTGGACCTGGGAGGTGGAAGGCAGGGGAAGCCTCCAACCGGCCTGACCAGCTCTGGCTCACTGACCAGCAGTGATCACCCTGCTCATCATTCTGCGGAGGCGGCTCCGGAAGCAGGCCCGCGCCCACGGCAAGAGCGTGCCGGAGATCCACGAGCAGCTGGTCACCTACGATGAGGAGGGCGGCGGCGAGATGGACACCACCAGCTACGATGTGTCGGTGCTCAACTCAGCGCGCCACAGCGGGGCCAAGCCCCCGCGCCCGGCGCTGGACGCGCGGCCGCCCCTCTACGCTCAGGTGCAGAAGCCACCGCGGCAAGCGCCCGGGGCGCACGTGCCCGGGGAGATGGCCACGATGATCGAGGTGAAGAAGGACGAGGCGGACCACGACGGCGGCGGCCCGCCCTACGACACGCTGCACATCTACGGCTACGAGGGCGCCGAGTCCATCGCCGAGTCCCTCAGCTCCCTGGGCACGGGCTCATCGGGCTCGGACATTGACTACGACTTTCTCAACGACTGGGGGCCCAGGTTCAAGATGCTGGCCGAGCTGTACGGCTCGGACCCCCAGGAGGAGCTGGTCTATTAGGGGGTCACGGGCCTCCGGGCCTGGGCCCCAGACCACTTGCGGCTGGGGCTAATCGGACACGAGGCATTGAGCCCTCCGATTGTAGCACTCCTGTCCCAGCCTAACAGCCCTTCCTTGCGGGTCCCAGAGACTTCACCACCTTGGTTGGCAAAATCCAAGTTCCCGAAACGTCCAGGAACATATTTCAGCCATGGCCACTCCCCAAATGCTGGAAAATCAAGGCTGGTATGCTGTCTGGGTTGAGACATCCATATAACCCTGTCACCTGAAATCTCGGGGTCCAACTCAAAGACTCTCTCTGACTCTTCAAAGCAGCTTATGCTCAGTTGCTGCAGGGGGTGGGGGGTGGGGGTGGGGTCTTTCCTTGAGGTCCCTGGGGAGGCTGGGGAGGCCCTGGTGCCTGTCAGCCTGGAGGCAAAAGGCTGGACAGCATGACCGTGGGGCAAGACTCTCTGTAGCCCTGACCTACCAGAGACTGGGACCACCCATCACACTTGTCCCACCTCAGCCTCCTCACATGCTCCCAAGTACCCCCGCATTCCTCAGCCTCTCCCCAGGCCTGTCCAGAGAGAGGAAGGGCCTCTTGACATCTCCCAGCCTTGGGTCCTGAGGCAACCTCGCTGGCCTGCCGTGCCTGTAACTATGCTGTACTGTGTATTGAAAATCCACCCAAGGTCAGGGAAGTGGCTCGTTGAACTCTGAAGCAACTGTGAATTCTCCCTGGAGGAGCAGTGGAGACCAAGTGTGACAAGAGACCATAGGGTGAGGGCCACCTGCACACCCACTCCCTCCGGAGGGGGCTGGGAGTCACTGTGACCCCAATTTGAGACTCATGACACCCCTCCAGGTTTGCCTGGGAAGCAGGGCAGGTGTTCCCAGAGCAAAGACTTCTCCCCATCGCTCCTGGTCACTCGTTCATGCTCTTTTTTTCTTCCTTTCCATCTATTCTTGATCTCTTGGCTTAGTGGCACTTAGGATGTGACCCATGACTGCACAACAGAGCCGTGCCGTTTGTCTTCACACCTCACTGCTGCCACATCTCAGGGAACCCCAGCAGGGCCCCCTCCCTGCAGAAGGCAAGGCCCCTGCCTGCTCAAAACCTGTGATCACCTGTGTCTCTTCCACTTTCAGCCACGTATGGAACTTTCCACCGCAAACACGTCTTGGGGAAGGGGCATCACTCAACAGAAGGGGGGAGGGGGGAAGGAGGCAAATTCTCCAATTCACCCTCTGTCAGGGACCAAGGCTCCTACTGTGGGCAAGGCCCCTCAATTCAGGGGATTGTAGATAACACTGACTTTTAATCTTTAACTAATAACTAGTTTTTTAATATTTTTTATACTAATAATACTTAACACATTTCTAGCTCTCACAGACATATAGAATAAGGGTATTTGCATAATTAGCAGGTTGCTATTGAGGTTAACAATTTTATTTTGGGTTTTTTAGTTGGATCAAGAAATTTCTGTAACCATCTGTTTCCTATCATTGTAGTAACTGATCTAGTAATAATGACTATATATATATATGTGTATATATATATATATATATATAGGCTACACTGGTGCATGGAACATACTGTATTTTTTTTAATAACTAAATAAAGAAAAATCTTGAAATATGTCTCTTTCTAGAGCTAAGTGAGCTCGTGAGAAATAGAAGCACATACACGCCACCACCACCACCACCATCATCAGAGGAATCCAGAGTGCAAGGTGACACTTGCTGTCAGGGTTTCAGACACACACTGCAGGAAAGTGACTGCAGCAGACAATAGCAAGGGACACCTCGTCCATCCTGGTCTCCTCCCAGACGCCCACGCCTTCCCTCAGCCCGCACATGCCCCCCAGTCCTACCCTGACTCTACCCAACAGGCAGGGCCTCCGGCAGCTGAGCTGCCACACCTTTTCCAAGTGACAAATGGACCAGGTGGGTGAGATAAATCAGCAGTGAGGGAGGAAATCAACCTCTAATTAGCTGGCTAACAACAGTGACAGCAGCTGGCACTTCACTCGGGTGTGTGAACCCCAACACTGAGGTCCTGCCTGGAAATAAAAAATGAAAATAGGAAGCCTCCCTGCCAGACTTAGGACTGGAATTGGGGAGGCGAGAGATGAAGCTCAGGCCCCTGGCTCCTTCACCCCTGCCAGCAGCGTTTCCTGGGCAGTGTGTCTCTCAGGGATGGCATTTTGAAAACTGTGCTCTGGATAAACACTACTTCTTGGAGCTCTCAGGGAGTCAATATGTCTTAACTCCAATTTTGTTCTAATTTCCCTTGTGATTTCTCGATCCATCGGTTATTTGAAATGTATTGTTTAATTTCCAAATATTAGTGAATTTTCTAATTTCCTTCCATTATTGATTTCTAATTTCACTCCACTGGGGTCAGAGAATTTTTATGATTTAAATCCTTTTAAAGTTTATGATTTAAAACTAGTAAATTTATACTAGTTTTATACCCTAAAACATAGCTCATCCTGAAGAGTGTTCCACATGCACTGGAGAGGTACATTATAAGCCCATATGCCTCTAACAACAATCTACTGTTGTGATGGAGCGTTCCATAGTGGTATGTTAGGGTTGTTCAAGTCTTTTGTTTCCACATTGATCTTCTTTCTCGCTACTATTTAAATTTTATTGAAAGTTAAGTGCTAAAATCTCCAACTAGTACTGTTGAATTGTGTATGTCTCCCTTCAATTCTGTCAGTTTTTGCTTCATGTATTTTGGGTCTCTGTTTTTAGAGGCATATAGGCTTATACTTGTTATATCTTCTTCTTGATGGACTGACCCTTTTAGCATTATAAAATGTACCTCTTTGTATGTAGTCACAATTTTTATTTCAAAGTCTGATTTGTCTCATATTAGTACAGTCACTCCAGCTGTCTTTTGGTTACTGTTTACATGGTATATCTTTCCTATCCTTTTCAACCTATTTGTGTCTTTTAATACGAAGTATCTTCTGTGAATAAAATATAGTTAGATCGTGGCAGTTAATCCATCCTACCAGTCTCCGCAATGTTGTCTTTTAATATAAACTGTATCTTCTGTGAACAAAACAGAGTTGGATCATGGCAGTTTATCCATCCCTACCAGTCTCTGCTATTGAAGTATTTAATCCTTTTACATTTAATGTGATTACTAGTAAGGTAGGATTTATGTCTGTCACTTTCCTATTTGTTTTCTATGTCTTGTCTTTTTTGTTCCTCTATTATCCCGTTATTGCCTCTTTTATGTTAAACAGATATCTTTTAGTGTACTATTTTAATTCTGCAATTTCTTTTACTGTATTTTTTGTTATTTTCTTAGTGGTTCTCCTAATGATTATACCTAAAATCTTAATCCTTAACTTAGAACAATCCAGGTAAAATCTGTACGAACTCAATTTAAGTTGTGTACAAAACCTTACCCCTAATATCTCCACTTCCTCCCCACCTCCTTTGTGGTGTCACTGCGCATATTACAGTGTTATACATTGTATGCCCACTAACAAAGATTTGTATTTATTGCTTTATGCAGTTGTCTTTTAAATCATATAGGAGGGGAAAAAAGAATTACAAACTACATATACACTGTCTTTTATATCTACCTATATAGTCACTTTTATCACTGATCTTTATTTCTTTATGTGAATTCAAGTTACCGTCTACTGTCTATCACTTCAGCCTGAATGATCCCTTTAGTATTTTCTGTAGGGAGAGTCTTCTAGTGAGGAATCTCTCCATTTTATCTGGGAAAACTTGATTGCATGTTTATTTTCTTTTTGTAAGATAGTTTTGCTAGATACCAAATTAATGGTTGATATGCCTTTTCTTTCAGCCCTTTGAATTTCATCCCATGGCCTTCTGACCTCCCTGGTTTCTGATGAGAAGCTGACTGTTAATCTTACTGAGGAAAATTTTATGTGATAAATTATTTCTCTCGCTGCTATCAACAGTCCCTCAGCCTGTGATTTTCAATAGTCTCATTATGATGTGCCTAGGATAGGTTCTAGAGTTGATCTTTCTTGGAATCCACTGAACTTCTTGAATGTATCTATTAATATTTTTATCAAATTTGAGAAGTTTGGGGCCATTATTTTTTCAAATATTCTACCTCTCTCCTCTCCTCTGTGTGTTAGTCACTCAGTTGTATCCGACTCTTTGAGACCCCATGGATTGGAGCCTGCCAGACTCCTCTGTCCATGGGATTCTCCAGGCAAGAATACTGGAGTGGGTTGCCATTTCCTTCTCCAAAGGGATTTCCCAACCCAGGTATCAAACCCAGGTCTCCTGTATTGCAGGTGGATGCTTTACCATCTGAGCTATTAGGGAAGCCCTCCTCTCCTCTGGGACTCCCATTTTGCTTTTGTTAGTATATGTGCTAATTTCCTATGGATATCTAGATTTCTATTCATTTCTTTTTTCTTTCTGTTCCTCAAACTAGATTATCTCATTTTACCTATCTTCAAGTTGGCTGACCCTTTCTTCAGTCAACTCACATTTGATCTTAAGCTCATCAAGTGAATTTTTATTTCACTCACTGTACTTTCAACTCCAGAATTTCTATTTGGTTCTTTTTAAAGCCTCTTTATTGACATTCCCTATTTGATGACACATCGGTCTCATACTTTTCTTTCATTCTTTAGACATGGTTTCCTTTAGTTCTTTGAACATATTTTAAATAACTGGCTTAAAGTATTTGTCTAATAAGACCAACATTTGGGTTTCTTTAGGGATAGTTTCTGTGGATTGCTTCTTTTCCTGTCAATGGGCCAATTTTTCTTATTTCTTGGCATGTGTCATAATTTTTGTAGTAAATTGGATATTTAGATAATACAATATGGCAACTGTGGAAACCAGAGTGTTTTTGCTAGGTTTTCTTGGTGCTACAGTTTGTTTATTGACTTTCATTTGTTGTGTGTAGCTACTGAAGTCTCTCTTTGACTGTTGTTGTTCTGTTGGTAAGTCATGTCCGACTCTTTGTGACCCCATGGACTGCAGCACACCAGGCTTCCCTGTCC